ACACACACACACACACACACACATATATATATATAGTCATATATATTCTTAAATATGTATGTATTCCTAAATAATTTGTGTGTTCTTCCTCGAGGAAGACCATCTCTCTGGATCCTAGCTTTCCTTAGTTGCCCGCATTTCTTTGTGCAGAGTTGTGGCCTTGTGCCCTTCTAGTTTGACATGTGTCATCCTTGTGAAGCCCATAGTTTCTTTTTAAGAATAAAATCAAATTATTCTTTTTTTGACCAAAAACCTCATTTTAATTCAAAAGTGTTATATTGAGATACAATCTCCTTAAGTTACTTGAACTTGCGGTATAGGCAGGAAGCTTTCGAACTTGCCATGCTTCTGCCTCAGCCTCCTACAGCATAGACAGACCTTGAACTTGCTATTCGTATGGTCTAGCCTCCTGAATAGCTGGTGCTGTAGGTTTGTGCCACCGGGCTTAGCTGTCTCTTATGCTAAAATAATATCTACATAGTGCTGATGACAAAGTTTCATGTACAGCACTCATTACTGACATTCTATAAGTGAATAATTTTATTCAATGTGTTTTATCTTTAATTTTGCTTTATATGTAATTTTCTTATACATTTTTAAAATTTAATTTTTATCTTATGTGTATGGGTATTTTGCTTGTGTGTATGTCTGTGCACCATGTGTGTGCCTAATACTCAAGGAAAGCAGAAGAAAGGGGCATTGGATCTTCTGGAGCTGGAATTACAGATGGTTTTAAGGGGCCATCAGGACACTGGGAATTGAATTTAGGTCCTCTGGAAGAACAACAGGTGCTCTTAACCACTGAGCAATCTCTTCAGCCCCTCAATTCTCCTACTTTATGAGTTCAGTTTACTATTTCCATTTTATGAAAGAATAAACTAATGTTTATATTAAGGAGCAGACATGCACTCCCATGAGTAAGTGTTAGTTCCCAGGTTTCAATTTATATATATCAGAATTCATCTGATTTCTAGGGGTAGGCTTTTAAATACTGTGCAATGTGGTTTTCCGCATAACATTCTTGGTTTCTTACGCTGTATATTTTGTGATTTTAGTAAAACTAATAAGGAGGTGGTACAAATCTCCAAACAGTACAGGAAACAGACAGTTCTTACTCAGCATCTGATGTCATCAAACCCCACCCCTACCAATTAAGAACAAATGAAGTGGATTTTATGGTGTAGATTTATTTTTCCCCTTTTTCTGTGGTTTTTATCATCTGTTCTATGACACTGGGCTGTCCTGTAAAAATATTCTTTTATGTTTTTGTAGAGGGAAAATAGCCAGACTGAGTTAAGTGTGAGATGGTCAATATTCTGTTCCCTGTGACTGTTTTTGAAGGTTATAGAAGCTGGTTTCCAAATATGTGAGGTCATGGATGGAAATAAATGAAATCATAGTCTAAATCAAAAGTTTTTCTCATTCCCTGTGAGTTTGGAGGACAAAATGTGTGGGAATGAATGGTGGGTCCTGACTGACAGATGGTCCTGGCATATCTGTGATTAGATGGTGTGAAGTCATAATCATAGTAGGTTTGAACTAACAAGGGTTTTCTCCTAATACATGCCCTTTTATTTTCACTGGTTACAGAGGCAGGGGCCTATCAACACTTTTGAAGATCCTCGAATGACCTGTGGCTTCCAGTCCAGTTATCACCAGCAAAGAACTCTTTACCCACTCTGGGATGAGATGGCCACTCAGGAAGTTCCTACTGGCCTTGAACACTGTGGCTCAGGTAGGAACATAAACAAAAGTTGGGAATGAAGAGAGAATTGAAGGGCAAGAGAAATAGACTATGTTCTCTGAAATAATATCCTCAAAGCTTATGTGGGTACAGTTGCTATTGTTCTGTTGTGGAAAGCCCCGTATCTTCTCAATAACTTTGTGCTACTTTATTGTCCAACCGGAAGGTGACACTCTACCAGTGGACCCAAGACGGGTCTCTATTTTGTAAAGAGTTTTGTGCCTTCTGTGTATTTTCCACCCTTTAGGATGGTTGTTAACCAACACGTTTTACCATCATAACTGATGAACTGGAAAAACAGAGGCCTGTGCATTAGCCATCTTTCAGGATGAAACTTCTTTCATTTGTCATCACTCTATTTATTATCCACCAGCATCTGTGGTCTCCTCCCCAACCATCTGCGCCAGCAGCTTCCCCACTCCTCTTTTCTGACTTGCTGGCTACAAGGCCACTCTTTCCTGAGCTGGCGTGAGACTCCCCAGGGGACCTGTCTGCAGTAAGTCTGACTGCTTGCCCCAGGACCAAGTTACTTGGGTTCTGTGTTCAGGGCTTGCTTTTGTTTCTTTTGAACGCCATTAGTCTTTGTTTGCTTATTAGCATTTGAAGAAAATACTAAATGTAAAACTTGAATTTGGGGCTCTGAATTTAATTGTCCTTGAGATCATGTCATAATGACACATATAAAATAGAATGTATGTGGTGTGTCTATAATTATATGATGTACATATGACAGTAAAAACTACTCCAAATCTGTCAAAATTTTCTGTCAGGTTAAACTCTTAGCCTAAGAAATGTCATTGGTCCAATATATTGAAATACACAATTCTCAGGAATTATACAGGTGAAGCTATGGGCCTGGAGATGATTTCTGGAAACTAAGTGGAATTCTTTGTTGTGGTGGTTGTTCAGTACCCTACTGACTGTTGGTCTGTGGCTTGTAACATAGTGGGGAAATAAAATCCCTGCTTTGCTGTCCATGCTTCATCCTGCAGAGGAAATGAACTGAGAGATACAGAGCACAATGCTTCTTCCAGAAAGGGGTGTACTGCGGTGGGCGGGACAGTAAGGGAGGCTTTTCTCTGTTCCTAGCTCATCTCAAAGACAGAATGGCATCAATATTCAGTTGTCTCAGTGGACAGTGATATTTGAAATACTCTTCGACATCCCACAAGGCAATAGATGTGGTGACATCTATGCCATCGTTTTCTTTTTGGCATCTTTGTGCCTTCAAGGATTTTAAAAGCAGTCCAAAGCACAATCACAAACTTAGCAGCTATGTGCCCATTGCACAAAGAGGTTGAGAGGGCAACCTATACACAGGTGAGACGGTAAAGACATGAAAAAGGTGATCTAGTAAAATTCTGAACAAATTAGACTTCATATGTATAAGCAGACGACCCATACAGTCTTACCTAGCTTTGTATAATCTTTGGATACTATTAATGCCACAGCCTTAGGGTTTCTATTCACTAATTCAACTGTGATTAAAACTACTCCCCTTAGATTTTGCTCTGATGGCATTCCATTTGTTACAAGTTGAATCCTATTTGTTTCCAAGTCTCTCTGCACACTAACCCATAACCTTAAGGTGAGAATGTCTTTTCTTCCCAACAAAGAGACACAGCTTCTTTCTTTCTTAACTGAGGAGTACATAATTTGCAAGGGGAGTTGATATCTTATTGTCCTTCTTGCCTAGATTCTCAAAAGTTAAAATGTTTTTACTTCAGAGCCAGGGAGACAGTTTCTGTGAGATATGTGAACAACAACCCAGCATACTCTTAGCTTTAAAATGAAAGAGCTGTTAACAATGTGATATAGTGCTCTTTCCCATAGTTTATAGTTGCAAGACAGAAGCTGGGTTGCCCGGACTTGTGGCTTTGGGGTGGGAATTACAACCATTCTTAGAATGGCCTGATTGCAGTGTGGAATGAAGAGGGCTGCCATGGGGTCTGGCTCCCTACCAGTTGGTGGCAATCTGCTTGCAAATAGAGGAGGTGGTTCCCACTTCCTCAGGCTTCCTCTGATGGAAAGCTCTGGCAAGAACCTTGAGCCTTTCTTGTCTGTCCTTTGCCTTGTGAGCTGTCTAGATGAAGAAGCTGCAGGATCTTTTTTTCTGGGCTGTGGCCCTGTTCTTCTTAGTGATGGGTTGTCATTTGGAAGACTATTGTGAGGTTATAAAGAAGGGGGATGAAGACATGGATGAACAAACGATTTCTCCAGCTGTGGCACTTTTTTTTTGGTGTGGAGATGTGCTGAATAAAAAGAAAGGGAGAAAAAATACTCTAGGTTTTTTTTTTTTCTTGTTCTTTCATCCTATTTATAACTCCAGTTTCCTTCCCCTCCTCCGACTCATGGCTACTTCCCACCCCTCCGCCTCACGTTTGTGCTCTCAGAAGGGATGAATGGACTTCTTTTCCAAGGGTTACACATCTGTCAGTGACTGGAATACTGACAGGCCAACCATGAACACCCGGCCTCATAGTGGACCTCATCAGAGTACTGCTCCCATTCATTCATGAAGGGGCAGAGGCTGAGGAGGAGGAGAGAAATGGAAGGAGGGAGGGCAAGAGAGAATAAAGCTGAGTTAAGGTTTAAATAAGGAAAACCTCACTAATAAGAGGAAGAGAGACTCAAGAATTAGGAAAGCTAGGAATAGGTAAAAAGAAATAGAGGAGGAAAATTGAGATGTGTAGAATTGACAGAAAAAAAAGATGGCTGTTGGTAGAAATGAAGGTGGTTTTGGGAAGAGAAGATGAAAAATGAATGAGAAGGGACAAAGAAGTAGGGAGCCCTGAAAATGACAAGGAAAGGAGAAGAGGAGAAATGGCGTGAAAGAGAAAAATACATGATTCTGAGGACATTCACTACAGCTAAAAAGGGAAGTCACATTTGCATGCAATTGCCTGTGCAGCTGTATATTGCTTCACAACGATCTTGCAGTCATCATTTTCTTTCATTTTTACCTCCTCCTCCCTCTGCCGCAGCCCCTTCCTTGCTATCAGCCTGGAGCCATTATGGAGAGCCAATGGGGGCTGAGGTTTGGTGTTCTGCATGAATGAATGGGCCCTTTCTGTTTCAGCTTCTCGTCATCCTTCTGTCAGGGAACCTTGTGAATCAATGGAGCTCCTTACACAAGCCAGGGCTGTAATGCCTGTGACTGTTTATAGTCTGCCTGGAGTGTAGCCCACTGACCCTGCCTCTTTTCTGTTCCGTTCCTCTGTTCTGTCCCTCAGCTTCAGCACCTCCCTCTCCATCATCATAATGAGAATTATTGTGTGTGTAGGTTCCTGCTCCCTGTCCCTAAGAACGCACTACACTGCTGTCATGAGCCATTAGGGCTAGTTCCTGCCCACAGCCCTGTTGGGAAGTGGCAAGGTAGAAATAAGCCATTCTCAGATAAAACAGTATACCTCAAAATGGAACTCAGTCCTGACTAGAGTTAGTCAAAGCTTGTCTTCTATTGGGAATCAGAAATCAGAGACCCCACTCCACAGGGAGACAACATGACCATAGTTCAGCTATAGCCGCCAGCTGTCCACATGTGATTTCAGCCTCCCGGTTAGGGTTATCATGAGTGACCATAGTGTATATCAGAAAGCACAATGCCTTGGCCCCCTGTAAGAGTAGCGTCATTTTTTTTCATTTTGGGTATTATTTTGCAAATGCAGAGATGGATGGATTCAGTCTTAAATCATCCCAGTTTTAACAGTGACATTTTGATCAATGCACACTAAGGCAAATACTTGTTAAGCTGGGAGGCAGTGCACAGCCACAGAATGTAGAAGTGAATGACTTTCATTCTCATCGGCGCGGTCCTTGATTTGAACTACCAGGCATTGCTTTTTTATGTATAATTCTGTTTGGTATATTTTGGTTGCTGAGTGCAGTAAAGCCTTCATCCACCCCCATGCACAGAATCCTGCCATTTCTCTGTTTTGAAAAAGAATATAGAGATGGTTCAAGAGTAGGAGATCCAGGCTCTTAAAGAAGATCACTTTGGTTTATAGTAGATCTTCTTCATTGTGTGACCTTGAGCAACTTGATCATGACTCTTCATTTTCTTCATATGCCAGGGAGATTTTAAAAGTTTGTTCCATAGGTAGCAGCAGCAGAAGGAGGAGTATTGGATCTCAGAGATGCAAAATTTAACTCTTATTCTAGAGTCATTGAACTGGAAACTCCAGAATCTGCTAAAGCACAGGCTTTAATGCTCTACTCCCGAGTTAGGACTGAGGAATGTTTGTTTCTAATACACTTCCAGGAACTGACCCTGTTGTTACTGCTGGAAGTCCAGAGATCACACTCTGAGAATCAGTCTGTCCATATCTGTAAAGCTTGAAGCATGTCAGCATACAGTAAACTCGATGTGCACATTTGCCATTGGAAATCATTGCCTTCAAGTGCCTTTTGATTCACTGTCTTGTGAAGTACATTTTGCAAATCCAAAAATATCTAAGGGTTGAGTCAGAAAGTGACCCACTGATTGGTTGAACTCAGGGTTAGACTGCCAGTGGTACATGGTGAGTCCTAAGAAAACATATGGGGGGAAGTGAAGACACAGTCCTTGCCTACAAGCAACTTTTTTTTTTAAATGTGTGTGTGGGGTACATTATTTTTTTGTGATAGAGCAAATGGTTTCCATATGAAATACCACACTTAAATATGACACAGACTTGGCAAATCAGGGAGTGACTTTGGATCTCACTATTTGAAATTTCTAAAACAAATTTACTAATGAAATGGTGGAGTTGAAAAAAAATGTCTTTCCCAAATAAACTTTAGAAGTTCATGTGGGAGACACGTTGAGAGGCCAGGTTCATGGTGTCTCTTGGAGCTTTGTCATCAGGCCCAGCGGCTGGGAGGGATCAAACCTGGGCAGTGTTTGGAAACGGCCATCGACAGCCAGGTGGGATGCTTCAGTGGGAAAGCAGGAGCCTCCAGTTTGGCTTTCAAGTGTTGAGAGTGTTGAAGACACGCCAGCAAAACTTCAA